CCTACTTGAGTTCGCATCATACCGAATTAAGCGTCATAGTGTCTATTTCCTTTTTGCAGGTCCTATCTTGTTTAAGGTTGCACCTCGTTAGCTCGTCTAGTTGCCACGTGGCCGACCTTGATAGCTCAGCAGAATTCTGCATCCACCCAGGGCATCAATATCCTCGGAAGCTTTGCAATATAAGAGAAAAATTACATCAAAATCCTTAAAGCAATGGCAATTTGTAAATGACCTGAAGCAATCACCATGAACGAGACCCCAACAATTCACCTAAAATCAAATTTATTGCAGGTGATAAACCTCATGAATGGACGAGGCACTGACCTCATAGAGATTTATTGGTTTACCAAAGAAGCGATTCAACTTGATATGGCCACGATGGTCGTAGTGATCAACATGCAAAGAGAGATTCTAATAGAGTTTGCACATGAAATAGCAAAGAAATCCATGGTTTCAGTGAAACTGGAGAGTGGTATAATGTTTACCAAATTGGTTGTCTGCTTTATACTACTAGATTCCTGTTTTGTTAGTCTTTTCTGTTTCACCGATAAAAAAAAAAAAAAGAGAAAAAAAGGGAAAGGTAAAGGCAAGAGGAGGATTATTATTTTTAAAACAAGTTACAAAAATAATGCATATTCAAAATAATTACAAAATAAATGTAATTTAAATTTTAAAGAAATTATAATTTTAAGCTAAATATCCAAACCATGGACAAAAATTGATTAGTAGTTGGTCAAAGTAAAATATCTCGTCTAACATATAAGATTTTGATGCCAACACTTTATATATGAGGTGGATTGGGAGATAAGTCAGATGTACATTGTACGTAATTTACATAAAAGTCGTATATAATATACGCGATTTCCGCACCTCTAATTTAAGTTAAATAAAATATAGCGTACAATTTGTAAAATTTGACCCGGTTTTCTCCTTCATTCGACTTCATGCCTCAAGTCACAATTGGAGTATTTTTTTATTTGAATTTTTTTAATAAATCACAAAGCATATTTTTTTATATAAAGATTAAAACACTTAAATTACCGACAATATTTAGATCAAAGCGGCAAGAAAACCTATTTCAGGTTCAAAACAATGGGGTGGTTGCTGTACCATTTAAAATGACAAAAAAGAAAGTTATTTAATAAATTCTATAAAAAAATAATATATAATCATGAATTAAATTATTTTTCCTTTTAAAAATTTTGAAATATTTATGAAAAATAATTTCCAATTTTAAAATTGAGGTAAGTGAAAATCGAATTATATAATTTTCTTTTCTTTTTAAAAATTTAAAATATTTTTATAATAAAGAAATATTAATAAAAAAACAATTTAATGAATGAACAACCTCGCTATATATGCTTCAACGACCCACTACACCAGATACCTGGAGAAGAAACTTTTTAGGTCAATTTTGTCTTTCCTTCCTAACAAATTTCTCCTACTTTCTTTTTCTTCCTCTCTCTCGTTCCACACCACTCTTCCCTTATTTCTCTCTTTATCTTATTGTTATTATTTAAAAAAAAAAATATTTAATCTCCAACTTCACARATTTCAATTTTCTCAAATTCATTTGTTCTCTTTTAAATCCATGATTGTATTTAAATCCGTCATTGTATTTCTTTCCTATTCGCTATTCATTCATTCTTTCTCCACCAATCCAATTTC